TGCAGTCATTTACCTCCTTATCCTCCATGAGCACCTACTGCTGGCTCCACACAATGAAGGTGAAAAGACAATGGAGCTAAGAAAGCAGACTGAAATAAAAAGACACCTCTCAGAGAGAAGAATCCTGTGAAAGAAACAGGATGCTTATGAACTTAAATCGTAGGAAACTGTAAAGAACAGAATTACCATTGCAGAAAAGTACATCAGCAATGTGAAGTATAGGCTGAAATTCAAAGTTAAAGAAAACAGATATAAAAATCAGAGAGATCATAGACGTGGAAGAAAAATAATGGAGGCCCTGTGTAAGAATAACGAGAATCCTTGGAGAGGAGAACAGAATCTACAGGAAAGAATGCTCAAAAACATAATAGATTAAATGTCGAACTGAGAGGAGATCTTAGGTTCCGTTTATACAGAACAAAATTCAAGAAAAATAATTAATTGTTAAGCCTATGTGGCATAGTATGTTAGTTCAAGTGTTGAAGTTTCAGGTAGGCACTGAAATTCAGGAGAGAGGTCAAAGCTGGAGCCATAAATCTGAGAGTTACTAGCACGTGAATATTTAAAGTGTGTGACCAGATGAGATAATTAAGGAGGGGAGCAATAGGATAAAAAAAGTGATTTGAAACGGCATGCTTGGGGATTCCAGTCTTTGGGATTTAAGCAAAGAAGAGTAGCCTGTTAAGGGGTGAAGAAGGAGCTCTACTGAGAAAGGGGAAGTGAGTCAAATAGCAGATAAATGTAGAAGTGTGGTAAGGCTCATTAGTAATCAAATAACTGCAAATTAAACATACCAACTTTGATCAATTGTAGTGGCAAGATTTAGTAAATTTCATTACTGATATCAATCGAAAGTCAAACTTGCAAACATCATTATAAATTTTGAAGCTCTTTTGACCCTAAATTCCATTTTTAAGAATTTATTCTAAGAAACTAAACAGACAAGAGCACGAGAATGCAAACTCATCATAGTACTGTTTATAATCAGTAAATCACTAAATATCTACAAAGAAATGAAGCGTAAATTAGTTATGGTACATGAACATGGTGGGATTTTATGTAGTCATTAAAATGATAAGGATATCCATGTACTTAAATATATATATATATATATATATATATATATATATATATATATATTACCAATATTATTTACATGATATTCACAATATATTATAAATAAAATATTATTCATAGAATACTATTAAACAAAATTGATTCTAATTATACAAAGTTTTGCACATATTATCTATGTGAAATTTTAGTCACTATGCAAATATCTACACCAGGCATCCCCAAACTACGGCGCGGGTGCAGCCCCCTGAGGCCATTTATCTGGCCCCCCACCGCACTTCAGGAAGGGGCACCTCTTTCACCGGTGGTCGGTGAGAGGAGCACAGTATGTGGTGGCCCTCCAACGGTCTGAGGGACAGTGAACTGGCCCCCTGTGTAAAAAGTCTGGGGATGCCTGATCTACACACATAACACTCCAGAATGCTAGACTCTCAATGTTAATGAGGAGTAGGCATTTTGACAACTTTGACTATAATGTTTATACTATTCCATAAGCATTTTTATGATAACCATATATTGCCTTTTTAGCCAGAGGAGCCAATCAAGGTATTTTAATTTTGAAAAAAAAACAGGTAAAAAAACTTCCTCTCCCCATTCCCCGGCTTCCCCTTTTGGCTGCTCTACTAAGCCCTTTAACTCTACCACCCCCAGTGTAGGGCTCTGAGACCACAAAAAATTGGTTCTGGAACCAGACAAAATCTGTCTTGCTCTAGATTTTATATTGTACCACTTTTATAGAAGCACATAGATTTCTCCCTCCATTTAAGGGTACATAAAATTGTCTCTTCTTAAATTTTTTAAATTTATTTTAAACAACAAGTAAAAATTATACGTATTTATGGTGTACTACATGATGCTTTGACATATGTATATATTCTGAAATGGCTATATCAGGTTACCTAACAAATCTATTATCTCAAATATGTATCAATTTTTGGGGGGGGATGAGGACATTTAGAATGTACTTCTATAGCAATTTTCAAGTATACGATACAATGCAACTAACTATAGTTATCATGTTGTACAATAGATCTCCTGAACTTATCTCTCCCAACGAAAACTTTTTATCCTTTGACCAGTCTCTTCCACATACACCACTCTCCTTAGGCCCTCGGTTCGACTCTCTGCTGCTGTGAATGAGTCTGACCATTTTTGATCCCACATAGGAGTAAGCTCAGGAAGTATTTGTGTTTCCGTGCCTGGCTTGTTTGCACTTAGTGCAACCACCTCTCGGATTCAAGTGATTCTTTTTTTTTTTTTTTTTCTTTACTTTTTTCATTTTAATCAAAAAATCATTTCATTTTATTCTTTTTAATTTATTTATTTATTTTTAATAAGAAAAAGAATAAAGAAGAGGAAGAAAGAGAAAGAGGAAGAGGGAGAGAGGATGGGGGTATTGCTTTATTGCCCCGGCTAGAATGCAATCTAAATATGGGTATGCCTATAATTGTCCTTAATAATGGAGACATGAAAGAAAATGAGGGAAGAGAATAACAAAGAAGGAGCCAACCAACATTTCGTTTAAACTTCTAAGTTGATATGATGTGGTACTGATAAGAGTGCATATTTTGTATATTTAAAGTGGAGAATTCTATAAATGTTAATTACATTTACTTGTTCCAGATCTGAGTTCAAATCCTGGATATCGTTGTTAATTTTCTGTCTCATTGATCTGTCTAATATTAATGTTGAAGTCTCCCACTATTATTATGTGGGAGTCTAAGTCTCTTTATAAGTCTCGTATGTCTGGGTATTCCTGTATTGGGTGCGTATATATTTAGGATCTTTAGCTCTTCTTGTTGTTGCATTGATCCTTTTATCATTATAGAATGTCCTTCTTTGCTTCTTTTGATCTTTGTTGCTTAATTGTAACTTCTGCTTTTTATTTATTTATTTTAGCTCTCTGTTTGGTGGGTAAATCCTTCTCCATCCCTTATTTTGAGTCTTTGTGTATCCTTGAATGTGAGATGGGTCTGGATGCAGCATACTGATGGGTTTTAGTTTCTTATTCAAATTGCCTGTCTGTCTTTGGATTGGGGAATTTAGTACATTTAAATTTAGAATTAATAATGATATATGTGAGTTTAATACTGCCATTTAATATTAGCTGGCTATTTTGTCCATTAGTTGATGTAAATTCTTCATTATATTGATGCTCTTTTTGGTATTTTTTTAGAAAGGCTGATACTGTTTGTTCCTTTCTATGTGTAGTGGTTCTTTCAGAAGCTCTTGTAAAGCAGGCCTGGTGGTGATGAAATCTCTGAGTACTTGCTTGTTCACAAAAAAACTTTATTTTTCCTTCACTTATGAAGCTTAGTTTGGCTGGATGTGAAATTCTTGGTTGAAAGTTCTTTTCTTTAAGGATGTTAAATATTGGTCCCCACTCTCTTCTGGCTTGTAGGGTTTCTGCTGAGAGATCTGCTGTGAGTCTGATAAGCTTCCCTTTGTGGGTAACCTGACCTTTCTCTCTGGCTGCCCTTAGTATTTTCTCCTTCATTTCAACCCTGGTGAATCTGAGGATTATGTGCCTTGGAGTTGCTCTTCTTGAGGAATATCTCTGTGGTGTTCTCTGTATTACCTGGAGTTGAATATTATCCTGCCTTACTAGATTGGGAAAATTTTCCTGAATAATGTCCTGAAGCATATTTTCCAGCTTGGATTCATTCTCTTCTTCACATTCAGGTACACCTATCAAGCGTAGATTAGGTCTTTTCACATAGTCCCATGTTTCTTGGAGACTTTGCTCGTTCCTTTTTATCCTTTTTTCTCTAATCTTGTCTTCTAGTTTTATTTCATTGAGTTGGTCTTCGACCTCTGATATCCTTTCTTCTGCTTGATCAATTCGGCTGTTAAAACTTGTGCATACTTCACGTAGTTCTCGTATTGTGTTTTTCAGCTCCATCAATTCACTTATATTCCTCTCTAAATTGTGTATTCTTGTTAACATTTCGCCAAATCTTTTTTCAAAGTTCTGAGTTTCTTTGGATTGGGTTAAAACAAGTTCTTTTAATTCACAGAAGTTTCTCATTATCCACATTTTGAAGCCTGCTTCTGTAATTGGAACACACTCGTTCTCCATCAAGCCTTGTTTCGTTGCTGATGAGGAACTGTGATCCCCTGCTGAGGGAGAGACGTTCTGATCTTGGGCATTCTCAGCCTTTTTTGGCTGTTTTCTTCCCTTTGTTATAAATTTATCCATCTGTGGTCTTTGTATTTACCGTCTTTGTAATTGGGTTTCTGAGAGGACGTCCAACTTACTGATTCTCAGCGCCGAAATCTGAGCAACCCACTGCGCCGACTCAATCAGCAGCGTTAAGATTGATGGTGCTTTTCTGACTCTGCACCAAGAACCGACGCTCCGAGGCGCCGGCAAAACCGCCTCGCCGGTCACAAGAGTCGCGCTGGTCACAAGAGTCGCGCTGGTGACCCGTGGGGCTCCTCCGCTGGGAATCTCCTGGTGCGTGAGCAACAAGAATTCATGTGAAGGTGTGGCGTCCTCTCGTTCTTTGCGTTTTCACTGGGAGCTACAATCCCGAGCTGCTAGTGATCAGCCATCTTGGATCTTTTTTTAATTTTTTTATTATTTATTTTTTATTTTTTATTATTTTTATTATTTTTTATTTTTATTATTTTTATTATTTTATTTTATTGTTTTATTTTTTATTTTTTATTTTATTTTTTATTTTTTATTATTTTTTATTTATTTTTATTATTTTTATTGTTTTATTATTTTTATTTTTATTTATTTATTTATTTTTGAGATGGAGTCTCACTCTGTAGCCCAGGCTGGAGTGCAGTGGTGCGATCTTGGCTCAGTGCAACCTCTGCCGCCCGGGTCCGGTTCAAGCAATTCTCCTACTTCAGCCTCCCAAGTAGCTGGGATTACAAGCATGAGTCACCATGCCCAGCTAATTTTTGAATTTTTTAGTAGAGATGGGGTTTCACCATCGGTCAGTCTGGTCTTGAACTCCAATCATTTCATTAACAACACAAGAGTTCCAAAGAGACAAAAAAAAAAAAAAAAATGCTATGTAACACAAACAGGTCAGAACATAAAATGCTGCCATATGGGGGCCTTGAATTTTGAAGCCATTGTTTTCTCTGCCACTGTCAGGGACTCCGCTGAAGTCACTGCTCTCCCTCTCCCCTTCTAGAGGATCTCGAGACTGTGATCCACAGAGATCTACTGAGTACAATCCCTGGGGAGAGGGCCGCTTCCTGGGGCTCCACTTAGAACCACAGCCAGAAGCCCCCCCTCCAACAATTTCACTCTGGTACAAAACTCATGAACAGCCACCTATCTCAAGAACACGTCCAGCTACCAGAAGTCTGACATCAAAGTGGTCCCTACCTCCTGCTGCTCAGGAAACATAACAAGAGTCTAGACGAAAACAAGCGCCTGGCGTTTTGAGCCAAAAGCTCAAAATAAATCACTGAAGAAATGAGTGTTCACGGCCAGAGTCTCAGAATCGACTCCACGGAAGTGCTGCTGGAGAGGGGGATGCAGACAGAGCTGGTAAGGGGGAGAGTGCTGGGGCCCAGATTCACAGTTTGTATTAAACTGCTGCTGACTGGAGCGGTTCAGTCCATCGGAGATCTTCCAACGAAATGAAAACCAAAAATAAAAGAGAAGAAAACAAAAAAACAACCTTGGCACAGACAGAAAAATTCTTTCTTCTGTGGCCGCCATGGCCATTCCTCAACAATCCAGGGTAGCTGATTTATGAATCCTCAAGCAGACCCCAAACATGTGGGGTTGGGGGATAATGACCCTGTGCCTGCCAAGGCCAGCCAACTTTTCTTTAACTCTACGGAGGAGTTGCAGGCAGGAGCTTGAGCTCTGGTCGACGGGTTTGAAGCTGGAAAGCCTTGGTAGGTTCACAATGAACAAAGGTGGTGGCTGCTGACATGACAGATGCCATCCCAAATGTGGCCAGCTGGGCCTGGCTCCAAATCCGGTTGACAGAGGGACCAGGAGAAACCCCATCAGACGGAAACCCAGACACCTGTGCTGCCCAAGTGACCCCCGGATATATTTATTTTCTGCAAAAATCCAAAAATCAAAACAAAACAAAATACAGCCCCAAATGCAGCGTAACCTTGGTGAGGAATAAGCAATACAGCCTTGGGCAGGAGCGGGGGCAGGTGGGAAAAACTGATGACACTCAGTGCAGACCTGGAGAATGCAAAGAATAACCTCCAAACAACTCTATTTCGAACGCAGTAAGTGGCACGAGGCCAGGGGCTGAGGGGACTGGGGATAGTTGAAACCTCTAGCCTCAGTAATGCCTCTGGTAAGATCCCGTGGGGGCCTGTGGCTGCCCCATCTGTGCTGTGGTCTGGCTCACCAGGTGGGAGAGAGCAGGGCCACTCTGCATCAGGGTATCCAGAGCCTTCTGTGCACTTGGATTGCCAAAGTTGGTACCTGTGGAAGACACAGGCCACTGGCTAGCCGTGGTGCCAGGCGACTGGAAAGTTGGCCAAAAAGCCCTTGGGACGGAGCCACAGGTCTGGGGCCCATGTTCTGAGCAGATGCTCCCTGCCCCAAAATGCTTGGAGGCTGATTGCCAAAGGCCTGTGATCTTTGCAGAGGCTGGCTGTTTGCTGTTGTAGAAAAATTCTGGTTCGGGGCGTTTCCGGCAGCATCGGAGGGGGTTGTAGAGCTGCTCTTGGCCGCCACTGTACCACTACTGAAGAAGCTGAGGATTTGGGCCTGAAGCTACTGCTGGGAGGTGGGGGGTGCAGATGGAGTGGGTGTAGCAGAGGGAAGCACGTGGCCGTTCTGGAGCGGTTGGGAGCTTGGCCGTGTCTTCAGCAAGGCACCTGAGGTCGCCCGGGTGGTTGGCAGGAAATCGAGCCAGGCAGAGAGTCGGTGCTGCTCCTCATCAGCTACTCCCTCTGCTCTCATAGGTAGTTGCTGATCTTGTCAGTCTTTTCGGCAGTGAGGCACCTGTTGCCGGCCAGCAGGCTGGTGAGGCGCTGGACGGCTGGAGGCGGGCCCTGCGTACACCCTCCTCGGGACCTCCTCTCTCTCTTTCCTGCAGGATGGCTGCATCCTGGCTGCCTGTCTGGCAATCTCCTCACGTTGCTTCTCCCAGCGCTCATTCTTATAACCCTCATAACTTCTGGCCACCAGCACTGTGGCGTCTGCCTGGGGCATGTCGCGATGCTCTTGCGGGGTTCCAAACATGATGTTGGCTGCACAGGAACGGTGACTCTGGCGTTGCTGGGTGATGACAGGAGCAAAAGGGAACCTCCCTGCTCACATCCTCCAAGGCTCGTGACAACGACACCTGTGTGTTGAGGAAGATCAAGTCCACTACGCCCAGGTCTCGCACCTTCCGCCCCACGGATTCAGCATAGTCTTTTGTCTGTTGACCACAATCACAGAACACTGGATGGGCCTTTCAGCATCAAAGCATCTCTGAATCTCTACACCGTTCAATAATCATTGTGCTTAACTAGTATTTGGAGTTTAAATGTGTCTGGCTATTTTTAAATGACTTAATATGGTCTCGATCTCTCGACCTCGTGATCCACCCACCTCGGCCTCCCAAAGTGCTGGGATTACAGGCTTGAGCCACCGCGCCCAGCGGAGCTAATATTCATTAGGCACATCTGACTGCTTTTATGCTGCTTACATTTTCTTTTATGTAGCATTCATTACCATCTGAAATACTATAGCATATACCTATTTATTATGTTTCTAATATGTTTTTTTCTCTCTCTCTATCTGCTAAAATGTAAGCCTAATGAAGGCAGTAATTTTTCTCTGTTTAACTCACTCATATCCCAACTCCGTAGAATCAAGTGAGGGACATAGTAGTCACTTAATAAACATCTGTTAAATAAGTATTTAGACACTGATCACCTGTATCAAAGTTAATGTAAACAGATAACCTTAGCTCTTACAGTATAAGAAAAATATAATGATTTTAGCTTCTATAGTGTAAAAAAATTCTACATTCTATAGCACATTTTACAGACAAATCTAGATTAGACACAATGCTCTGGAAACTGTATAATTGAGTTTATTGAATTCCTGGCAACTGTTAAAATATTCCTTTTAAACTGCTGTTTTGAAAATTTTTCTAATACCTATGATTAATGGGTAATAAAAATGACATTTTTTTCAATTATTCATAACTTTGCAGTCTCAGAGCATTCGTTCTAAACATTATTTCTCATTATGCAACAATAAACCATAGAAATAAAAAGTCTGGAAGGCTGAGCTGAAAGGGTACTCATCACAATTAAATCTCTAATGTGAGCTAATTTTAAGGTTATTTTTATCTTTCTCCTAAAAATGTGAGTCAATAAACATTGTGCTTAACTAGTATTTGGAGTTTAAATGTGTCTGGCTATTTTTAAATGACTTAATATGAAAAGGATTAACTTAAGCACACATTTTTTAATCTTTAGAAAATCATGTTAGATAAACTTGAACTTTAGGAAGTATTTATAATATCAGTTTGCTGCTGTGCAAAGACATAGCTGCCCTAAGGCTAAATACATAGAAAGTTTCACCTGAAATAGCACCACAAGGCATTCCTTATCTCAGGTTTGATATGACTGTCTTTTTTTAAATAAAGAAAATTTAAATTCCTAGGCAGTCTTATTAGAAGCAGCAGTTGGCTAAATGTAGAATGATTATATAACTTGGCATTCAAACAAAGACACTTGAGAATGAAATGAAATACCTTCACCCATCACCCAGAAACAGAGCCTTCTGTCACCCACCCCAGTTGAGCAAGCAAGGCTGGCCAGCATTGTTCTCACACCTCTTTAAGCCAGTTTCTATCAACTAATCTGAAGATGAAACTAAAGGCCTGTGTATATTCAGAGCCAACTGTTTAACCACAAAAAATTCATTAAGGGTAAATTAATACTCTAAAAGACTTGGTTAGTCAAAACAAGCTTTATCCTTTTGTCATCCAAGTAGAAAAAAAAAAAATCAAAGAAAGAAATAAAGTGCTTACCGTGAAGATAGATGCATTTTTTTAAGGAATCATTTGTAGTATAAGAAGAGCTGATTAGCCAAATCTGACTTACTATTACAGGCCTTTAATCTCAATTAGGGTTGAAATGTATTCTCAAAAGATAATAGACGTTAGATTCAAGCAAAATAGTCGCTTGTTCTATTGTAATTAAAGTAAACTACCAAAAAAAAAAAAAAAAAAAAAAAAAGACCCACCATCTTACCTTTCCTCCATATCACTTTAATTCTCTACACATTTATGTTTGAAAAAAACATATAATAAAAGCAAAAATTGTTTTTTGGAGTTTTCAAATGTAGAAAATTATACACAATAACAAGAGCCAGTCATTTTTATCACCCTGAAATGCTTTTTAAAGCTATTCAAAATGGATAGTACATTGAGTTCAACTCCTTTTTAAGATTAGAATATTGTAACAAGTAAAATTAAGTCATCCCTAATGATTATAGCATAAATTGGCCACATTATGTATAATGTTATCCTCTAGGCCTTTTATTTTTAACAAATATGCCCATACTCTGTGCACCCAGATTCTCTCTTCTGATGCATGGAAGGATGACTTATCATTGGCTACTTTGCACTTTAATGAATTCAAGACCTCATTTCGCTGATTTAGTAATATTGCAGCGCTATTATCCACCATCTTCATTTTATAGCGCTGAGGAATAGCATTCTATTACCACCACACTGTTGGCCATATATAGACATCTAGAGCAAACAGATACTTCAGCCATTCTGGGAAGCTGTCTGTGCCTTTATTTTTAATGGCTCATCAGAGGAAAAAAAGATTTGGGGGGTATAATACTGTGGAAAATGTTTAAGTTTAAATATTGAGATTTTAAAAAATTGATCTGCTATTACCTGTTGCTATTCTGAAAGCACTTGAAAATCAGGAAGGTATAACAGTTTCACACAGAGAACAGTTCAGAGGAGAAGATAACAGTCCAGAGGGAAAATAAATGACAAGAGGGAAAGAAAAATAATAACATAGGTATTTGTTTCATTGCACCATTTTGTAAGGTAAAGCAAATCTCCTGAACGGACAAACGAAACGCCTTTCCATTCAGACACCTTTTTGCTTTGGTATTATCCTCTGCATTCCCACTCAACTTACAAATTCAAAAGCTGCAATTGTCTTTTTTCAAGGAAACAAAGACATTACCAAGTTATTAATATTCTTCCTTCTGCCAAAGAATAAATCGTAAGTGCCATAAAAAGTGCATGGCCAACGTCCCCAGCAGCAAAATGAAAACCCCTCATCAGCCTCCGCTATGGGGAATATCACGAGACACAGCATTACTTGCCAATTCTTTTTGCCATTTTCCTCAGCTCTTTAAAAGGCCTCCATTGTTACCTAAAAGATGTAGTATATATCAGATAAGGGATTCATATCCAAAGCATCTTTTAAAACTCTGACAACTCAACAACGGAAGACAAGCAACCCAATGCAGGAATGAGTGAAGGACTCGAATAGGCATTTCTCCAAAAAAGACATGCAAAGCGCCAAAAAGAATATGAAAAGATGCTGAACATCACTGATCATCAAGAAAATGCGAATCGAAAGCCTGATAAGAGATTGCTGATTTTGAATGGCAAAACGGAAGAGGTGAGAGACTGAATTAGCTGCAGAAAGACATGGCTAGTCATCAGCAAAGCAGAGACTTGAACTCCCAGTGACCCACCAAACAATTTTAATCACTACACTAAGCAGTAGAGAAGAATGAAAGAAATGGCTTTTGAGTCAGACACTTTAGGTTTGAATATCAATCGTGCCATTTACTAGCTAAGTGATTGAGGAAAGTATTGACTTCTGTGATTCTTAGCTTCTCCAACTATATAAACAAGCCCCTCACTGACTTCCTGTGGCAAAACATAACAAAACAGCAACAGGTAGCCCAGCACCTGCCATGTGAGGAGCTCTACAAATGCTACTCTTGAACTAGTTTATTCACCCTCCAAAGATCCTCATGACTACAGGGCGGGGGTTCTAGTCAAGTTAGTGGTGCAGAGGTACCAGGTGTCAGCTGACTCAGGAGGTACAGTAACCCGAGGCTAGGCAGACTTTGTTGCTGTGACTATTGGTTCTTCTGACTACAACTGAGTGTTTTTTTTGTTTGTTTGTTTGTTTTTTGAGATAGAGTCTCACTCCATCACCAGGCGCCAGGCTGGACTGCAGTGGCGCGACCTTGGCTCATCGCAACCTCCGCCTCTCGGGTTCAGGAAATTATCCTACCTCAGCCTCCTGAGTAGCTGGGACTACAGGCACGCGCCACCATGCCCAGCTAATTTTTTTTTTTGTATTTTTAGTAGAGACGAGGTTTCACCATATTGGCCAGGATGGGCTTGATCTCTTGACCTCGTGATCCGCCTGCCTCGGCCTCCCAAAGTGCTGGGATTACAGGCGTGAGCCACTGCGCCCAGCCTACAACTGATTGTTTTATCTGTGCTGCCTTTGTTTTTTGTCAGGCACAGTAAGTGACAGTACCTGAAACTTTAACAGGAGTTTTGTTTTTGTTTTTTTTAAGTGCCATTTAGTCCATTTGGAAGAGTCTTACAATATGCAAATTTAAATTCAAGAGTTTACCTCTACCCTTTTGACTTATAGAAGCGGATGCTGTACTGTGATTGCTCAGCCATAGACTGGCTTGACACCTACAGATCTCTCATGAAAAGTTACAGTCACGCCCTCAACTGACACTCACTGACACCCCGTAGTGAAACTCCATGGAGAGATTCAGTCATTCATCAATGTCAGAAACAAAATTCTACATGCGTGCCTGCTTTCTAAACACTGAATTCCCATCTGGCAAAATCCTAATGAACAAGGGAAAGATCTGTTTAATGAAGCAATTCTCTTTTGGTAGATATTTCTTGACAGCTGTGCCTCGGGGACATTGCAGTTCTGCCCACGCTCCTACACCTTCAAAAAGACAAAAATCCCGAAACAATTAAGTATTCAAATGCTCAAGTGCACAACGCATAAATTCTCCTTTTCCTCATCCTGATTCCATGGAATGAGGTTAACTTTCCATCAGTGAGGTGTAGTTAACTAATTTCACTTTATGCTATGTATTTTTGTAAACTACTGCATTCTTGCTGTGAAACAAGTCTGAACCAATGAAAACCAAATGTGCCTTTAGTGAGGAAAAGGCCCTGTGAGAGATTACAGGCGGTGGCTCACGCCTGTAATCCCAGCACTTTGGGAGGCTGAGGCGGGTGGATCACGAGGTCAAAAGATCGAGACCATCCTGGTCAACATGGTGAAACCCCGTCTCTACTAAAAATACAAAAACATTAGCTGGGCATGGTGGTGCGTGCCTGTAGTCCCAGCTACTCAGGAGGCTGAGGCAGCAGAATTGCCTGAACCCAGGAGGCGGAGGTTGCGGTGAGCCGAGATCGCGCTGTTGCACTCCAGCCTGGGTAACAAGAGTGAAA